CATTTTGCCAGTGATTCTTGTATAAGGTTCGCCTGTGTTAGAGTTTTCAATTCCGCACAAATCTTCCTCTCTAGTTCACTTGGATCGTCTGGAGTATTGTCAGGTCTAAACTTGGTTTCGTCCCGTAAGATACGCATCATGACCACGGATACATTGTGCAAACCCATGTTTCTGACTTCTCTATTCAAATTTGTGACGGGAAAACATTGCTTCCAATAACGGAATCATAAAATTTTCATTACCATTATCCATGGCCGTAGCCTTAGCTTGAGGTCCTCAATTCAGCTTAACGGAATGAAACAAACGTTGTGTCTCCTACGGTCTCCTCTGGGACATATTTCCGTCGAGGAAGTTTGACTTTTCTATTCACAAAGCACAAATTTATAGTTAATTCAGTTTAGTTGTAGTCCTCTGCATGACTGAGGTTCTCTCACATCCAATGTTAAGAGAAATTAGGCAACTTTAGTGTTTTTTGATTCGTCATTTCCACATCTTACTGATTTGCAGAGACCAAAGTGGATTTTGTCCATGCAATATCGCTTATCGGGATCATCCATTGGTGACCAGAAATCCCGTCCTTGCCAAAAGATTACGCTTCAACCCGGAACGTTTTGTAGACACTCCAACGGATACATTTGGCGAGATTGAGTTCCCATCAAACACTTACGTTTCCGAGGTGAGTTATATGACGTTCAGTTCACCCTTATGCATACGTGCCGGAAAAAGTGAGCAGAGACCCCAAAAATAGTGAAACACAAGGCGTCAGTACTGATCTCCTTGGTCATAAAATCATCTAATCAAAATTTATCTACTCATAGCAGTCTTCTGTCAATAAAACCGTCCGATTTCTGTTTACTTTGAAAAACAGGTCACCAGCCACTTGCTAAAATGCTGCCTGATAGGCGCCGGGCAAACAATCTTACAGTTGCACTTTGGTCAGGTGAAAGTGTGATCTAATAAAACACCGCTGACGGTTATTCAACCCAAATTGAAATAGAGAAGCAAGCGCGTTTGTGTTTGTGTAAAATGCAAGAGTCTACTAACCATGGCCAGTTGCTTGTTCCTGATAGGTTAAAATCCCATAGTGCTGAAACGAGAGGTATTTGTTATCACAGGTGTAACAAGCAAAATAATCATAGAGTGGACATGATGTGAAACATTTCTTAAATTCAAGAATCAGCATAAATATTTCGCATGTCTTATCGCATACTTATGTGGGCTTATAAACATACCATATTTTCGCTTCTTCTACAAACGAATAATGACCCCGTTGTCAGGCCAAGGTTCAAGCTCTTTGCATGTTGATTGTCTGAGTGAATTATTTTCTAAATAAATAGAGCTGTCAAACAATGTAACTTTCCGAGGAAAATGTGTCAGTGAAATTATAATAGTTGGGGAGTTTGTGAAAAGAACAACCATAGAAGAAATGACAGTCTATCGTCGGGAAAAGGCCCGTACGCGGGAAACGTTTGAAGAAGTTTACTGAGTGCAGGTAATGGGGCGTTCAACACCGCATATCGACTTACCGTTTTCAAAATGAATAAAATGGTGTATTTTGAACGAGGAAGTGGTCTGAAAATGCTGGGATTACAATCTCTTCACACTGATTACTGTGTTCGAGCTCCATTAAACCTGTGGCACGTGCCTATTGCATTACATTGGTAAACAACAGCTAGCTTGATTGAACAACAACGGATGTCATAAGCTCGTTTTACCTCATTGGAAACGTTTTAAGCAAGAAATCAAGACGAGCAAAGTATTAGTCATTCGAAGCATGCACATCTATAATCACCCCGATTTGAGGGCTCTCAAACTTGCAATGGTGGCAACTGACCACGATATGCATCCAGTGGTTCAAAGCCATTCCTGGATCACTCCTATGATTAATGCTCTTCCATTTTGCCGTCACGGGAACATGAGTAATGCAAAAGCTTCCTGACAGGCCTGAAAACAGAATTTTAAGTCCTGTGAGGAGTTGGCTCCACAGTTCAAACACACCTGCCAGGAACTCCTTGATTCTACTACATACGTGTTTGTGTCAGAGAGAGAGAGAGAAAAACAATACAACACAGTCATTTGGATTTTGCATTCAGCATCTCGGCTCATGTGACCTCACAATGATTGCCGTGACTGACACGTCAATCGAAGTGCTGCACTAGTTAAACACGTCAAAATCACGATAAAAAAATAAATAACTCTGTCTCACCTCTTCCAGTGCACTGTCAAATAAAGACGTTATCTGAAACTATGTGGTTACTCCCCATCTTTTCGCTTGGAAGAAATACGTGCTAATCCGAGGTGAACGTTTCCAATTTCCATTCGACTGTTAAGTCAAGCGTTTCTTTTGCGTGTATATGATGTTTTCCACAGGTAGCATATGCCTGTCAATTGTCATTGCAAGCTCCATCTAAATCAAACAAAATTTATTTACTTATTGTCTATCAAGCCACCAGATACCACCCGCTCGGTACATTTGCTTTTTCATGTTGTGCACAAAAAATGGGATCCTGTTCTCGATTTCATGTTCTAAACACTTTGACATTTTGAGTGTTGGATGCATCCAGCGTGTCATCTCATTTGATGTGACAGCGTATCGAGATGTTTCAGAGGATTTTTATTTGCACACCCAATTGAGGCCAAACAAAATGATGGCGCACAGATTCGAACAGTTTGAATGAACACATAAGAAACCACACTTTATGTAGTAAATTTGGAACAGATATTTCGAAACTGGTTGGTAGCTGTGTTTCAATAATTCGATCAAGTACTCCATTTAACGAAAAAATGACTGGACGGTCGATGATCGCATTCTGATCGACTACATCGTAGTGGGAAAGGTTGAGAATTTTTTTGCATGGTGTTGGTTTATTGTGTTCTGATTGCGTGCATTGAAAATCATTATACACAACTTCCTATAACATATAATTATCAATTTGTAGCCAGTCACCAATTATAGCAACAATCTACCGGCTTCGCATGTCGTAAGCTTATTAAGTACGTTGTACAATGTGTTATAACAAAAGCTCGAATAGGCATTTTTTGTTCCTTAGTTTGCTGATAGTAGAATTAGGTCAGTTTTGCACTGCTTCCGGGGTAAAGAAAACAGGTTTAGCTCTCTTCATTTCTGAAAAACATGGGAATGTTTCGTTTTAGCAGGTGGACTTGAGTATCTGGTTCTGCTGAGAAATCAAAGATTCGATTCTTAGAGAGCTCAAATGATGCATCTTTTGAAGATTGCAAATATGGCAAAACATTGTTGCAGTGCTTGTTAATATTTTAGCCTAGTCATTTCGTATATAACGTACTTTCGCTCACCCATTTGGTTTTGCTTCAACTGGGTTCCTTCTGGTTAAATGCAGTTACAGTATAAAGAATACTGCATCACCAATATCAGTCGCTGAAATATTTTGAGTTACGCACTTTGTGTACGGGACCCGTCATCTTTGCAGGCCGGTAGAGGATATCTTTCAAGCCGATCTTCTACCTGTGGGACTGAACAAATGGAGGCGCTTCGTAAATTGAGAGAGAGGAATCGGTGACAACTCGAAATATTCGGGATTCCCGTAGCAAAGAATGCTAATCAAAATCAGGGCCTGTGATCAATGCGTGTTTTGCTGCTCATTATGTATAGAAAAGGATGTTGGAGGGTGGCAGACTAACTCTTCAAATGGATCAGAATAGCGAGCATGGTTTGGAATTTTTCAATCGATTTATACACGTCAGCAGTAATATCATTTGCGTACAATGGATCGGGAACATATTGCACTAGTGTAATATTTTTAGCGTCGGTTAAAAACATCAGTCAATGAATCACGTGCATTTCCGGCGTCACAAATGAGAAGATCTACTCTGCAATCAAGCGCATGAACTGATCTAATGGACGTTTTTATTAGTTTACCATGCGCTGTTGAGTTGCAGCGCATCCGTTTATAAAATGTGTGCATATTAAGGAAAATGACACAGGAGATGAAAACAAAACATCCAGCACTTTGTCCCTGGTTCACTGAGTTTGTTTTCGGAAAACTATGAGGGGGAAGCGAGTTGTTGATAGGTGATGTATACAGTTCAGCTCAGTTAATTGTTATACTCGAGATTTATTGTGATGAACCTTTGCGGTTAAGAAAGCGGAAAACGAGATAATTGATCAAACTGTGTTATAACACACAATCTGCTTTGAGACAAAAGAATGTAATATGTATCAGCACAACTCCATAATTTACCCTTTTCCCGACCACGTTATACGGCATTACAATGAACTGATAGATTCCACATCTTTGTGGTTCATCTAGCCCTGTTTTATATGTGAGTTGTCAAGCTATGAACTCTCTGATAATCTGGATAAGTAGGTAACAGAGCTTGATTTAGAGCTATAATATTCAAATTACGACGATAGGAAAAACAGTTTATTTGATAAAAAGAACTAGCAAATCAATAATGCTATGCTATATTTTAACAAAGCTGGTTGTGAATACTGATTTGGCTACGAAGTTTTCATTTATCTTCCATCCTTGAAACTACATATTCACAGAAAATCTACATACCGTAAGCCCCAATGAGCTTTTTCGAACATTACTGTCTAAAGTGATTAAAACAATTCAACCAAAGCGATGACTGTCGGCTGTGTAGTTTAGGGGCAAGGTTTTTGGTTCCTAACCCAAAGGTTCGCGCTTCGACCGGTCCGACAAACATACAAGAAATGTCCAATGCTGACGAGTCCCAAACAGAATGAAACACCTGTTGCTCATCAAGATCTCCATAGAATCTAAATGCTAGACCTCGTCTATTCAATTAAGAAATGGGACAACATACAGCAAAACCATTTCACGCGTATAATGACCAAATAGAAGTAATCCCGAATGATCCGCTTTTTCACATAACATTCACTCAACTGAACTGCTTTTCGTGGAGCGCCCTGGTAAACAGGTTTCTTTGCTGTGCTAGGCAGGCTTTTCAACAAAAACATTTCACGCTTTCAATTCGCACTACTCATGAGTAGGACATCGGCAATAATTGACGCTGCAAAGGAAAAGAGATTCGGTACCACCGAATGGTTTACACATGAAAAAAAATGAATGCTAACATTTGCTTGATAATCAAATATGCAATTAAAATTTACATAATATTTCTTTTTCGAAACGATATTACACTTTGGCATATCTGTATGAAAAACATTTGAAATCCCAGTTGGTGCCGCAACGCTAGGGCAAGTATCGGAATACAAGATAGAATTTTTGAAGGAATTCATTTAATTTAACCTTTGGCATTCGCAAGTTCAAAAACTAAAAAACTTACCAAATATTTATATCATACAGTTTGAGCAGCTGTCACTGGCGTAAAGTCACCCAACTTGAGAGTTCGGTAGTTTTGCCGTCTTTTGACCCCATTCCAAATTTCTTTGCATAGGATATTATGTAGTTTCATAGAAAGAATTCGTCGCGTATAGAGGAAATGCATCGTTAACTGAAAAGCTAGGAAGCTCTACACAGCTGTTTTGACCTGGTTGGTTCTCGTAAGCCGTGCGAATCCATCAACCCAACTGGGGATCGGACCCGGGACCTCGTAGGTAGAACACAAGCATGCTACCCACTCGGTCACCGGGCAGCTGATCCGATTATGTAGTTGTCCACCACAAATTACGTTTATTACCTAATTGGTTCTTCTAATCGAAAAGTTATTTAGGAATTCCTGTGGTTTGCTGCTTACATGTTGTTTAAAAACACCACGGTGTTCCAAATGAATAAACGACGAATAAATGGTGCGGTCTGTCAACCTCACACTAATGCTTCAAAACTCATTAAGTTTAGACCGAAATGAACCGCATAGACAATTCAAAAAAGATTAATCGTGAAGTAAATCATGTATATGGTGAATGATAGTAAGCATATCGCATCAACATCAAGTTTTTAGGTTGTCCATATTCTGTTCGTGAGTTTGCCGGCTAGTGTTTATGAAGTCGATAGAAGTACACGTAATGATACACCCTAAAAGTTGAAGCACATAAAAAGTTATTCTTCGAATTTTGGTCCAGCAAACGATTAATATGTGTATGAATGATATCAAACTAAATAAAATGAATGTTCACTTTTTCAATTAAAAAGTGGTAATGCGCTACACAAAGTTCTTTCCGGTTTAGGCCTTTGTGTTTTTTAAGAAGAATATGATATTTAACAACAAAGTGATCATTTTCCGCCAGGTTTTCAACAACGGAAATTTTTCACCATATCTTTTTGTTTTAGTACGTGCGTATTTCAGAGGAGACCGCGTTGCACAACCTAATGACTTTATGCGGAACAGTTTGGGCGATGCCAAGACCCCAACTTATACTGTCTTTCTACGGAGATGAAATTCTTTCAACAGCGAGCAAAGAAAATTTGCGGAAATTGATATGGAAGAGCAGTGACAGTACACGTAAGTGTCTCTGGTTGTTGACTGCCATTATAAGTTGAACGCAATCATGTATGTGTGTGAGTTTATAGTTATATGACAAGCAACTTGGACGTACATGTATACACTACTCGTGAGGAGCTCAATTAGGATTCCTTTCTAATCTTCACAGCAGCTCTCTCGAGGTTCGTTGCCATGACATAAATGTTGCTCTTCATTGGGAAAAATATTGGTGAAGCTCACAAGAATAGCTTTAATGGGGTAACGTTTTCGGTTTTAAAGGTGCGTATTCGATTTTAGCATGAAAATACAAAATGGCTTCAAACATTCAGCGCTCCCACACAGCAGACAAGCTTCGTTTTACTAGTTGGCTACGTGAAATTCTTGTTTACCAGGAGAAAGAAATTACTATTCACTTTTCCTAAACATATTTTATTGTATAATTACACGTGAATTTATGGATACCAAGGCTTTTGTTTGTATACTAGTTTGAGTCTTACGTTGGGGGGACAGTGATTTTCCACAATACTATGCACTCAGTTGCTGACATCGATTACGTGAAACAAGGATAGATGTAGCGACTTCCTAGACGGCGGTTCACAGTTAAAATTCGGATAATTACACAAACATGATGCAAAGCCCTGCTGGGCAACAACACGAACGGAACAGTGACAATTTTTCACCTTCAAACTGATGGCTTAGTTAATCACAAATGATAATAAAGTTTTAGGGAGTGACTGGAACAGACTCAGGACAAGCATCACTGTTGTGTCCCAAGTTAAGCAAGTAGATAAGCACGTATTGAATTAAGCTACACGTTCATTGTAGACGGCAAATATGTATCCGGTTCACAGACCGGGGAGCAAGCAGAAACGGATAACGTGTAGAAAGACAAGCAGGCAGGTCGACACAGGCTCACAAGTCACACAATATCCGAATGCTGCCAAGCTGGCCAGTCAATCAATCAATTTGGCCTCAGGCATGTGTGACAAACCCATCAGTTAGTTAAATGTATTCCACAACAGCCACATAAAAGGGCAATGAAACAATATACTTCATTTAGTAAAAATCACTGAAGATACACACTTCGGGTGCATAAGCTTCTCATGACTTTACTTGACTTGTGCGCTTTGGGTTTCATATTGTTGCAACAGCCATTCTTTGAGTAATTCACCTATGCCAGCAAATTTAACCCCACTAAACCTAACATTAAACAGTAAATTTACTCTCACCCTCACTTCTGTCCGTCGTGTTTACTCAGAGCAAACGCAGCCATTTCTGAAATCGGGGAATCCGGGGTGTCCCATTCGGGGAAATTCAATACTTTGTTTTCAGATGAGCCTTGATAAATGCACTCAAGCTCTCACCATGATAAAAGAATACAAGTTGGGAACCATCAGTTTTCCACAACCTTTTCACGGAAAATTTCCCATTCATGATACTCTACGCCAATGAAAGAAGTGAATGAATGTCTGTCCCGGTTGCTCCAGAACTGAGTAATAATAAAAAGAGCACCAATTAATTCACTTCATAACCAATATGCACCCATTTCTTTAAACCAGAAGAATTGAAATCGTATTCGTCCAATTTATCGAATGCCCCACAACTTTCAATTTTGTGTACGGCGCACCACCTCCCTAAGATGAAAACCTCAAGCTATCCGAAATGATAAGTATTCCGTTGGAATTTTTCAAGGTGCACTTAAGTTACCAATCGTCCAATTGTTCTTGGGCCCACTGTTGTTCTTCCTAGTAATAATGCTTCTCTCTCTGTCGACCACAGTGACCTGGATATTGACCGATGGTCTTCAGCGTGGTATCTCGCCCGTAGTGTCTAGCGCAATCAAAGAGTACATTGAAGCCTATGGATCCGGTCTTGTCGAAGCACTTGGCATAGTGCCATGGCGAAAAATTTATGGTGCGTCTGAACTCGCCTCAGAGTCATTTGTGGTAAGTGTTGGCGAAAGATCCTCAACAAAGCACAAATCAGATTCATCCCTTTATTTTTAAAATCTCTCAGTGTCCACTGAGTGTGAAAAGTCTTTTTCAGTTCGGAATTCGGATGGAAGGTTTTTAATCTTCAAATAAGATATTTTCTTTGCCTGAAAGTTGTGACGATTCATAGTATCATGCCCATAAATCACCTCAGATATGTGATCAAAAAGTATGATTCACCTTTTCCTTCGTTATGTGTTCTTTTCGCAAGTGAATAGAGTACCTTGGATACCCTAATTTGGAAATGAAACACTTGAACTATCATCGTTAAGTGCAGGGTATAGTACTACTTTGAAACCGTCACTGAACACTTAAACCTACCTTTTGATTGAACCCACAAAAGTGATTTCTTTACATAATTGTGTAATGTCCAATATAACCTTAGTTTTACGAACTCGATTCTTTGTTAATATATGTTCAAACAATGGCACATTTGCAATTTTCAAGGTAAAAGAAGAGAGTCAATCAGGCTGCTAGTTTGAAGCCCTTCAATATGTTTGCAGTTAGTGCGATCGGAAATCCTCACCTAACGTTCCACTCTAACTTTCAGGGCAGATATCCGGCTCCTTACACGAACACAAACGATCAAATTGGAGCGCATGAACCTCTGGATGATAACATTACACATTACTTGTTTGTAGACACGAAAAGTAAATCATCCACCGAACGAACACTACTGTTCCGGACCAAGTTTGAAAAGTTTCTCCGTGAGATGACAAATGAAGTGGATGAAGAAAGGCGACATGGTTTCAGTCAAAGTAAGGGCCTGAAAGCTGACTTGTTCAGCCTTGATCCGAATGCTGTGTTTTAAATTCAGACCACCTTTCGTTCGAAGTCTAATGCTTAATTGGACACCCAGTCGTTGAGATATTACCTCTACTCGACACAGAATACACTATCAAATTAGATTGGTACAGAGGATCTGAGGTAGTCTGGAAAACACGTCTTTTCTCTCTTATCATTGTTCTTGATCTAACTCATGCGTAAGCATCAAGTAGACAAAATGTTGCTTTCCGGTGTTTTATCCACAAGCCAGTTGTCTCCAATCACTGGTTAGAAACGATGTAGAAAAAATAAATGAAAAACTCCTTGTAAGGGATGTGGTCTCATGATAGTCATTTGTTTGCGAGTATTTGATGGTAAAATTGTTTATTCTTTCAGAATTGCTGGTGTAGTGATCCTAGCCAACGAGATGACGAACACCACGGAGTGACAGGTTACAGTTTTCGGACAACTGTGATCAATCAAGCTTCCCGGGTGACGTCAGCAAAGGGTGTACGTGTCACAGCTTCTAGAGTACAAAACATGGGTCGATTGTATCAACCAATCGGAAACCGTGGGGTCCAGACAGAAGCTGAACAACGCCAGAAATACTAGCACATGACTGGCTGAGGCTTGGATGACTAATGAACTTGTTTTGTACATACTATTTAATCCCCTGATTTCTTTCAATAAACGAACTGCTATTCCTATGGCCTATTCCTCACGTCTCGGTTACATAGGATACTGCATGCAAGTACCAGTGTGATCCGGTGCTTACGTTGCGTCCGTGATTGCTAGTCCTTAACTTCCAATCCATGATTCGTATTTCGTGATCAGTGCGTACTACCATTACTACAGTTAGACCCGTAATCTCTTAAGACATACCGTTGTTTTGATATCCTGGATCTTTAAAAGCTATAAACCTCTTGCAAGCGATTGTTTTTATTTTTATTTGCCCTACCTGATCCTGTGCTATTCTGCCCTCAGCTAAATTGCAAATGTGTGGGATATTGTCAGGAGGAGATGAGGCAACTCTGACCGCGATTCACAGTTCCGTCCAGGATGGTATGCCATTTGTACTAATAAAGGTGAATATTTCTGTTCTTTGGTAGTTGCGTAACCTTCTCATTCGACAACATTGAACTGCATTTCCTTCATTCGTTTATAGTGAACAATGATTATGTATGCATGCATAAATAAGGGGACATTTTCACAGATGCATCAGGTTGTACTTTTCCTTCAAAGTAATCCAAAAATCTTTCGCATGCCGGGATCAACTCACATTTTTAATTCACATTTACTTGAAAGTAATCGTGCGGAATGTTGATTTCGTTTGGCAATTTCCCGAATTCCTGGGGTTCAATCATCAGCTTAGTTAGTAGATACCACACGCGGTCATATTCATACTCAATTTCCATTCGCATTGTAGATCATCAGTGGTGCATGTTTGCCGGTTAGTCCACAAATTGTACTCCGGGGCCCCCTCGAAGGAAAAGCAGGCGTGTTAAAACTGTGCGAGCCAATTCAAACTGAGACTGGTTACAATCACCGTAGCAAGTTTTAGCAGTCCGGAGTTTCACAATCAACGTAATTTCGCGGCAATAGAGATCGAGCAATTCCTGTTTATCCATCCTCCGTCTTTCAGGAAGTGTTCAGCATTCACCACTTCATTTATCGTACTTCACATAAGGGAGTTTCGGCAATGCAATAGAACTTTGAACAGTGTCCGATATTTTCAACCTGCATTTATCGGTTTGAACATAACTAATTAAAACGCTTCTCCAAAACACATTGTTGTTCACCTTCACCTCTATACAGAAAGAGACATGATTTAAATAAGAATAATTAGGGATTAATTACATTAAATAGTGCCTTTCATCCTGTACGGAACCAATGTAAGGTGAACTGAACATCGAGCAGGGTGAATCCGTTGACCAAAATGAGGATCGACCCCGGGACCCAATTTGAAAGCGAGCAGGTGATTTGACTGTTTTTCATTTCTCTTGTACACGATCAAGCACAACGCGTATTTACAAGCTTATTACGGTATCACACCTCGCTTGTGTAAACAACATCCCCCACTTTAATGGCTCTGTTAGAAACACCCCGAATTCAACGGCCTGTGAGGTCCCGGGTTGGATCGTCCAATGAGTCAATGGATTCAAACTACGGAAGAGATAGAGCCACATTGAAACAGCTGAATACAGTACTCCTTAGCCATTTATTTCACGTTTTATTTACTTCGTACACAATGAAATTCCATATATGCAAGCTGAAAAGTAGGTCGCACGACAACATACCGTCATGTAGGCAATTCATACAATTTTCATTCCCATCACATACAACCTGTTTTTAGTATACTACTATTCCAAGTAAATTGTACCACATTTTGAGTCAAGTCTATCAGGATTTGTCTACGGAATCGGAAAAAAGCTTCTAATTTCCTTGTCGCGTCTAAAAGACGTGAATGATGAAATGGATAATAAAGAGCAATGTTTGCAAGAGCGCTTCGCGAAAACCGCTTTGTATTCACCAAATTTTATGACTGCTGTGACTACTTCTTTCCGCGAACTCACCCGATAACCCCGAACTCGAGTATTTCAACCTTTGCCTTTGTGATTTGATCATGCCATTGCGCATTAGAATACTGGTGGCTTGGCCGATATTCTCGTGGATTGCATCAATGACACCGAGGTTGGAGAACGAAATCGCCGAAAGAAAGCTGTCACGGAGGGTTCCCAAGAAAGTGAAATGTTCCGTCTCTCCCCAGCAAAGTGAGTAGTGCGCCTAATTTGTTCATGGTTAAAGTTGACTGGTTTATCCTTCAGCTTGGTAACTACGAGTAATGTACCTGATCTCATCAGAAAGGCACTTGACAAAGATACGCAATCCTAGCCACCTTCGTTCATCTACCACGAGTTGAATCATGTTCTAACCTGTTTCTGTGAACTTTCATGAAACTTTAGAAATTCTGGACTAGCAGCCAATAAACAAGTTGTAACGTGTCATTTGTAAAGTAGCTCATAGATAATAACAGTCATTAGATTTCCATGGCATGTCAATGTATCTAGATTCCACACTCACGAAAAATCTTGATTAAACCATTATTTGTCAGTGCTTCGAAAGTAATGCTTGAAAAGAATGAATGAATTTAGACAATGAAGACCTGAAAGCTGAATTTGTGTTCCCTAAGATTTGGTGAATTTTTCTCCTCTATTGTGAAACTTTCTTATGAAATTAGGTTGTTATTTGTGTTAGTGAAGTTAATGGTCATAGTTCACATGCGGGAAAGAAAGCACCTGCAGCTTCAGTGTTGCAGAAAGTATGTCGAACAGCTTTTAGAAACGTTCTTATGGGATCAAGATTGCTTTTAACGACGATACTGATCTTACTTCTTACCCGTCACCATGTTATCTTCGCCGGCGTGGAAAGTCATATTTCATCCTTTGTGAAAGTCACCTGTCCGGTACGACCAATTCAGGTTGCTTTATAAACGCGCTTCAATTCCTAGGTCACAATTGATGTGAGCGGTGCCTACAGCAAAGCTTTGTGACTGATTCAGATTTTTAGCTAGAATGTAAGCAAATAGAGCTAAAGGTCCATCTTGAGCCGTTCCTAATCATTTATTGTGGTCAGATCAAAATAAAGCGCAACTAAAAGAAAAACCACGAATACAACGATAGGAAATATTTTCGGGAAGTGCATATATCGACCACACTCAGAACTTTACAGTGCACTGGACAAAAGATAACCAAGCAAGCCAGTAGGCTCCAACAAAACACCATAACGCACGATTCCAAAATAAAAGCTTCATGTGATAATTCAAACCTCCACGCACACACCTGAATCTTGGAGCTTCCTTCTGACTACAGCTATCGTTCACCGAGGATCAATCAAAATAATTCATTTTACTTGTGACAAATAACTGGCCCAAAGCCTCAGCGAACACCTTCAGGGAATACTCTGTTTTGAGTTTGACGTTTGGTGGAGCCAACCATGTATAACTGGTTTCTCTGACAATATGCCGTGCCATAATCAAACTACCTGTCAATACAGATACCGATTATCTAACAAAAGAGTAAATAAGATGTTTTCCAGCCTCGACCTAACTACTCTATTCAACACAGGTACCGGTCATTTTTCCAGGTATTTTATCAATGATCCTACCATTCCACGGCAGCTTTCCAACAAAACAGCGGATTTACTCTTTTAGGTTTTGAAGAGCACAAGCTCATTCCAATGAGCCTAATTTATATGATGTTTCAATCACCGCCGTCCAAATTCGAATCCTGTATTTTGGTTGATTCCCATAAGTGACAAACGATCAAAAAATTGATTCACCGTGTGTAATTGCATGCTCGGGTCCATCTCTTTCGTGTTTCAGCATTCACCAAACTGTGGTATCCTATTGGGAAATATTGGAGCGCCCGGAGGTAGTTATCCTGATGATTCAGGACTTATTGGACAATCTTGAAATGCTTTGCGTTTGTGATGCTGAAGAAGATGAATTGGACTATCTTGTCTTGCTTCTGCTGATTGGACCAGGTGAGTACTAAACATTAGGTTAACCAGTCGGTTTTCTATTACATAAACCGTTATGTAATCAATATTCATGAATAAGTATTTGCTAAATGAATGTAAGGTTTCAGTAAGCGAGACGCAGATCACTTTGGATGACGTTTGGGGATTCGTACAAAAACAACGTCTTTGAAGAAAAACACATTTTTGTTTTTCATTATGGAACAGCTGGAACTGATAATTTTGCGATGAATGTAATTAATAGCTACGAAAGTGTAATGGACAAATCGAAATTCATTTCAGAGAATCCACTTCACTTGATACCTAATATTTAGCCACACATAACAAAGACATAAAGAGAATACTCATTGATAGTCCCAAGCAGATCTGTTAAGCTGATTCGTCCTATTCCTTTTCTTTTTTGTTTCAACTTTTCTCACTTCATTAAAAAGCTATCTCTATCTAAGGGTCTTTATCATTTGTTTATACTCTTTATTTTCTCTCTCTACACAGTTGTAATTTTAATAAGTGTTCGACAATAGTAGAAAAACCAAAACAATATTGGTTGATTCCCTCGCTCCGGGTATATTTTTCTGCAACCGTAAATCTGCTGAAAATAATCGATCGTTCAGCCTACATACGCATTCAAATAGCAACAAAAAGACTAAAAACAAAGGTACCTAAATCAACGGTCAGAAAAGAACACAGAGAAATCCTCGGTTCTTTAAGCTAGCCCTGCTCGCTGCCCGCCCTGTTGGGCTCAGAGTGCATGGAAAGCTTACGACGACCCATTTTAAAAAGAATCAACGTGAATTTGCTATCAGTGAGGCATTACTTACTCTCTCACGTATTGTGTAATCGATCATTTCAAATGACTGCGTTTACTAGATATCGTATTCGTTCTCATATAGTTTTATCTTCTACTTCCTGAACTCACATTGTAATTAGTGACCGTAACCTACGGCAAGTACGCCTGTTTTATTCAAGCATTTTCACTTACCCCAATGATGTGTTTATTACTTTTCAACACTATTAAAGGATATTCACGCAGTGCAATAATGTGACCGGAAAATCTTACTGAATCCAAGCAACCTAGCAACCAAAAGAATTTTCCGTAATAGCACATGACAAAATCAACCGGAAAATGCTGAAATAATGTCAATGTGTATCAGCTCTCCACATACCATTCCACTTGATGTACTGAATAGCTTTTAAACGACTAGTCCGAATTTCCTGAAAAGCAAACAATCGGGTTCACGATGAGTGCTGTTTATATCAGTTCAGAACCTTCCCCGCATATCATGGATTGAATGTCGGGGAAAAGAGGATATATATCATA